TCCCTTGTATATATATATGCGTGCATATGAAATAAACTGTAATGCAATGTGAGGCTAGGAGATTCTGTGAGAAACTACTAATATTTATTTATTGATCGAAGAGAAACTACTGATAGTTAAGATATTGTTTGGTGGCTATAATTGAGAAGTTAAGCAGATTAACTTATCAAATGCAAAAAGTACACATATAATACACACAATTGGCCTCCTCATTGTGTGTATAACTCCAATTGTGTCTCTCACCTTTCTTCTATAACTCCAATTGCCCTCCTCATTTTGGCAGGCCTCAACCCTCCAACCCTTCCCCCTTCCACCTATCAGATAATGATTTAAATTCTTAATCTCCTCATTAAAAAATCTCCGAAACTCCTCCGCCCTATTCCTTTCAGAGTATTTAGTGGTCTATATGTATTAAGGGGTTGTTTGTAGTATTCAGGTTTCTCAGGGATTGTTCACAATTTTCAAATGTAGGGAGTTGTTTGCAACTTTATATATATATATATATTTTTCAGTTTTGTTAAAGGGGGCTAATTTGTATTTTTCAAATCATTAGGGTTGTTTTGTAATTTTAGATTTTCTGAAGGCAATTTGCAATGTTTGGATTCTTAAGGACATTCTTTTGTAGTTATCATATTTTAAAGGGGTCTACTTTAAACTTTAATTTTTTTTCAAAGATTGTTTGTAATTATTAGATTTTATAGGTGGTTGTTTGTAATTTTCAAATCTGAAGGGTCTTTTTGTAATTCCAGATTTTTCAAAGACTTCTTGTAATTTTTTGTTTTACAATTTTTTTTTGATAATTTATATATTTAGGATTTTTTGTGTACTTTTTCATTTATGAGGGGTACGTTTTTAGTTTCTTATTTCAATTTCAATATGCTTGTTCAATTTCTCAAATTTCTTAGTTAATTAATGGTTTCCAATTTTCAGATTTTCAGCGGCCCTATATAATTTTTTAATTTTTAGGGCCTTCGCATAATTTTAAGAATTTTTGTAGAGCAAAGAATCCTCTTTTCTCTTACCATTATTTAATCCGAGGGTATTTTTATCCATATAAAATTATGGTGTAACACAATTATGGCGGTTAGTGCAGAAAACAAAAACTTTTTTGAGGTATTCTAAAATTCCAAAGTTATTGGAGGTTTAATGTGAGTTTTAAGTTCTTTGGGGATTTACTGCAAACTTATTGAAATTTTAATGTAATTTACCCCCAAAAAAATGTGAAGATATAAACGATGGATAGGCTTTACAATGCGTGAATGTTTTTGTAAGAAGTGGTGTTTTGATAATATGAAACATGACATCATTATTACTATTATTTTGAGAATATGAAACATGACATTATTATTATTGTTGTTGTTGTTGTTGTTGTTGTTTTTAAGGTAGTTCACCAATTCTTTTTATATAAAAACAAAAGAGGAATAATCAGTTCTAGTTAATTAAGAAAATATATATTACTTATTGTAAAATTTTGTTTAATAAAAAATCTAAAATTAAACAATAGGGTATGTGATGATACTTGAACTTCTATAGATAGAGATTTAGTTGGAAAAGAATATGTGTTTAAATACTTATCTTTTCTTAAAATATTCTTAGAATCAATTAGAATTTTAAACTAATTGAAAAAGTAAGTACTTATTCATAAATTTCAACTAATTGCCGTATGGTAATTTATGGTAAACTAGCAAACACATGGCGACTTTACGTTAACTGTTGTAAATATAAATACAATGAATGTGGACATTACTAGAAGAAGTCTCTTCACCTACTTGTGACTTTTAGTATTCCCTTCCACATCTATATAATGTAATCCATGGAAGACAAAATGTATGTAGAAATGAGGATGAATAAAATGAGATGATCACTTTCTCCCTATCTCTTCTCTTCTCTATTTATTTACTCTTACATTTCATGTTCGATTCTTACTTATGATATGCGATGTATGTAGATATAACAACAGGATTACAACATTAACAACCAATTTTTCTTTATATATGTACAATGAAGGAGGTATAGTATAATTTGTCTATCTTTTTTTTCCCTTTAATTTATCATTTTGTACATATTGCCTAAAGTTGTTTAGGGTCCTACCTATAAAGTTGTTTAGTAAGTAAAAAAAAAAAATCATTCGACATATAAGAACTCCACATTTATTAATATATATCTGACCCAAATTAGACCTCAAGTTCATTAATATGTTTTAAAAAACAACCCCCTAATTCACACCTCAAGTCTGTTGAGTTATTATAAATAAGACCTCCATTTTGAAAACATATGAATGTCTTTGGGTCTAATTTAAAAGTATAAATAAATATTGTGGGTTTCTGACAGGATAAATGAAGATTTCAGGGTCTAATTGGCAAAATGATTATTGGGAGATTGTTGAGAGGCCGAAAGAGATTCTGGACAAGCTTATGGTTGACAAGAAAAACTTACATGGTGAAATACAAGAGATGAGAGAGATGATGAAAGAAATAGAGAATGAAAGCTTGTAGTTGGCATTTGAGAACAAGAAGCTAAAGAATGAAAATGTGAAAATTGAAGTCGAAGATGCAAAACATGAGAAGGGGACTTCCCTGTATTAATTTGGCTATGATTGTAATTTTTTCAGTTTTTGTAACTTTGATCTTTGTTGATGAGAAACCAAGGTTTATAGTTTTGGACAATTAGAGAGCAATTACTTACCTGTAATGTGATGAGAATGTATTTGCAGAAGTTACGTGTATGCGGATTTGTATGTAATGAAAGTTAATGAAAATAATGTGTGCATTAAAATCAGCACATGTATTATTTGCGCATTTAGATGATTTGTGAACTATATTGTGATTTGAATACATTGTGCTCGATCAACAAAAATTATGTACCGAGACTTCTCGTTGTACGAACAGAATATGTGCACATAAGCATTACGATTATGTGCAAATAATATATATATTTATGCGCACGCAAGCACTATAATTATGTGCCTCTTGCTTGTGCATTTCCTTAAATATAGCATTCAACCAACATACTTA